GCTACTGAAGTCTGGTTCTTGATTAGCAGACTGCTATGGGGACCTAGTGTTTGAGTTAAACTGAGACAATTAAGTTAACTATTTCTAAAATGGGAAGAGTACTTGCCTCACAGGTTAATCGGGTGTTATTCTAAGAGCACTTTCAACACATCAAGTTTATATAAATGGCTAAGTGGTTTTATTCCATAAGGCAGGGTTTTTTTTGCATTTACAATATATGCATTTGTGTGTTAACTGGGTTTTCTGTGTCATATAATTTCCAGGGACTAAGAGGAATTAAAGGTGTGAAAGGAGAGAATGGAAGAGAAGGAAATAAAGGGCTTCAGGTAAAAATACTCTGGGAATTCATTTAGGTTTCTACTCGGCCTGTGGAAGACTGTGGGAGACCTCAATTTTTATTGTTTTGTTGCATTCTTTGTTTAGAAATCCCTGAAAGAGAGATGTATTCATAAGAAAGCAAGGAATAAACTTAAAACACGACAAATACTCTGGTAGCACTTTAAAGACTAACAAAACCTGGACACGGCCCACATCTTCAGATTACCAAAGTGTCGGATGTCCAGAACCAAATGTGAAAGATCTCAGGGCCATGACAAATGACTTTACATTATAAGAAAAATATTCAATAGCTATATCACAATCTATTTCTATCATATCGTGGCCAACCAGTTTATTTAAAGGTTCATAAGCATGTGTATGTATGTTTGCCTAAATATCATGCAACACAGATTAAAATAGTGTTTTAAAATCAACTGCTCAAGTGTTAGAAAATGTCAGAACTTTTGCTTTATTCTAGCACTAGAGGATTAACCCAGCATTGCTCAGGTTCTTGTGGGGACTCAGGGCATGAGCTTGGGGCTGAAGGATCTTGGGGGCTCAGGGCTGGTGTTGGGCAGTATGGGGGAGGGCTCAGGACAGAGTATGGGGAAGCTAGAATCAGGGTAGCGTATGGAGGGTGCAGGAGTCAGGGCAGGGGGCTGGAGACTGTGGGGGGCTCATGCTGCCTGGCCAGTAGCTGCTGTCTGGGGGGAGGCAGGAGAGTCATTGCAGCAGGGGTAGCAGACTGTTCAGCTCAGGCCATTGGCTATTTTCTGGTGGGCCCTGGTGGCTGCCCAGCCCTGGCTGAGTGGCTGTTCCTCTGCTCCAGCTGGTGATTGCTCCCTGGAGGTCCCACAGTGGCAGGACCACTGGCTGACAGGCTCCTCTCCCTGTTGGCTGGGGCTGGGGGTGGGG